ATCTTGTGAATTAAATTAAATAATTTTTAATTGTAAATTACTTCACTTGCAATAAACCTTAAATAAATCCAATTATTTTTTTAATTCAATTAATCAAATTTATTTGAATAGTAATTATTTTTAGTTAATTAAAGTAAAATATTTAAACGAAGCAATTTCGATAATGATAAACGATGTTATGTGCACATAACATTTTTAAAATTTTATTTCTGGGACAAACTAGTAAAATACCATAGCTCTTTATAATAATAATATCTGATATTTAGAGTAATATATACTCAATTTAATTAACAGATTAAAACTTTTATTTAGTTGAATTTGCAATAATTTATTTAACTGAAACCATAACAATATTGACATTATTTTAGTATTATATTTTAAAAATGCAATATATTTTAATTACAAAATAATAAATATTAAATTTAACAAAATTTTTAATTAAATTGTACTGATGTTTCAGAAATATTATTATTAATATTTCAATAATATTATTATTTATTAATATTAATAAAGCTTTCAGTTTTACACGCATTGTACTTCGTTTAAAAGTTTAATTATGAAAGAAGTTTTATGAATATATTTTAGATAAGTACACTTCTTATCTTGGGATTCGGATATCTCAATTATTCGCTTATTGCTAGGAACGCAATGTTAGTTATTTGTTAGTTATTTTTAATATATTATATGTTTCATTAATCAGTTTTATTTATTTTTCACAAAAATAATAATAAATACTTCCATTATTTCAACATAAATTATTTTTTTTTTAATATTAATTTTACAAATTTTGTCCGGAACTGTATACATTATAAATTTCTTCGTTTTTTTTTTTTGATTTTAGTGTAGCTGACATAGCTTTGAGTAAGTAAAAATTCTTAAATAATAAATGAAAAAAGTATAAAATTATTTTTTATATGGAAGATCTATTTTCACTATTCAAGAAACTATAGATTTTAAACTACAATATTTAAAAATTACAAAATTATATTTTTTTATGTTACATATTTATGTTTAATTATTGCAAAATAATGTAAGATTTACCGATACACATATATCAAATATTTAGCTTTTTTCATATTAAATATATTTATATGTCGTTTTCTACATGTCATCATATTTATTTTTTTAATATTAAACAATTTTAACCATAAGTAGATGAAATGTATCATCTGAAATCAGTTATTAAAAAAGGAAACTTCAACCGGAATTTATAAATATATATGTATATAAACTTTAAGAATTCCATCAATTTGATTCCCAGAAATGCATCCAAGACATAAAAAGAGCTAAAGTCACAATTAATTACTTTTCAAAGAAACTTAGTAAAAAAAAATGATGTTTTTGTAAAAGAAAATGTTTTTCATATATGCCAATTTCGCTTTTTTATAAAACCTGATTTTTAAATTTAAAATATATTTTATATTAAAATACTTTGAATGTCTCGATAATTTGTTTAACGAAAAAAGAAGCATTTATTGACTGATGTTTTATCAGTTTTATATTTGCAAAAAAAATATTTTTTTATAAAAAATATTTATATTATTTTATTGGCAGTATTATAGTTTTTATTATGCATTATATAAAAAGTGAATAGTTTAAAAAACTTGAAGTCAGCTTTAAAAGATGTAATAAAATGTTTTTAATATCATATATAAAAGATATTAAATAAAATTAATAAAAAATTAATTAATATTGTGGTGTTGGAGACTAATTGAACAATTAATTTCAACTATTTTTGTAAATAAAAATTGATAAAAAGAGCTTAAATTATTTCACGCTAAGCTTTATTTAATTTTCAATATCTCATTTTAATTTAAAGTCGTTTGCAGGAAACTGCCAATTTTATATTAAAATACCCATCAACATATTAAAATGCATAAGGTGGACAAAACATACATATAAATATAGAGAAAAATAACAGTTTTAAAAACTTAACACCAAAATGTAGTAACCTGTACTTGTTTATTGATGTATAACACTTGAATAAGTAATTTATTAATAAGCTTAATACACCACATTATTAATTTAATTATTAAAAACAAATATTTAAAAAATTTGTTTAAATTTTATAAAATAAAGTTTTTGTAGCTTGTATTGAAAACAGCAATTACATTCTGAAACAAATTCTTATCTTTAGATATTAAACTAAAACAGAAATATTCACCTCAACAAAGTTTTTCAACACAGTTAAAAATTTATTAAATTATTAATCTGCTTGTAGTTAAAGAAATTAAACAACAATTAATTGCATGCAATTTTAAGTCAAATTAAAAATAATATATTACGATGAAAATTATTTTCAAAAAGAAAAACAAACATTTTTTTTATTAATTCTTTATTAAATTAGCATCATTTATTTCACATTTACAAGAAATTAAATTTAATAATTCTTGTTGCGAGCATTTTTACATTCTGCATTTTTTTTTTTCAAAATAAAAATAATATATTACGATGGAAATTATTTTCAAAAAGAAAAACCAACATTTTTTTTATTATTTTCTTTATTAAATTAGCATCATTTATTTCACATTTACAAGAAATTAAATTTAATAATTCTTGTTGCGAGCATTTTTTCACTCTGCATTTTTTTTTTTTTTTAAATAATTTTTTGCTTAGTGATTTTTTTGGATTAAAAACAAAATTATAAATATACTCACTTTTATTAAAGCTTATTTATAAATCCATTTTGTTCAGCTTATATCCGTAAGATATAAATTAAAATATCCAATATATTATATTATATATACAATTTTGTGGTCAATTAATATTATTTTATTTTTTAACGCACTTATATACCTACAATATTTCAATTAATTATATTAATTCACTTTAACAAAATAATATTTTATTATTAAAATCAGTTAAAAAAATTTTTTTAAATCATTAATTACGCAAATCGTAAATAATATATAAATATTATTTATAAAAATAAAAACAATAACAACACAAAACTATACCGCCGGATACTAATTTTGCCGGATATAAATAAGTGAATTTTAATTTAGGAATTTAGCAAAAATATTTTAAATATTTTATTTGATCCGACAATAGCATAAAAATAATTTTTGCTAAATCTAAAGCGAAAATTTTGAATTCCAAAAATATTTTCGTTTTAAGCACACACGACACGAGAACGTTTATGTGAAATTTCGGTGATGATAATCCGCTGCGATTCACACACATTCACGTAAAATGACATTCTGATAGAAACCCCAAGAAATGTTTTAATTACCACTCTGACCCAGTGTGTGAATACGACTGCATAAGCCGTTTTCACAAAAACTTTTATTTTGTGTTTGTTGCATTCAACAAATACAAAAGCAAATAAAAGTTTCCATTTTTTTTTAAATGCGGAACACATCATTTTCCTGTAGGTTAAACAGAGATAACAATACTGACAATAAAATTAATTATGAGGATTGGTTGAACATGCGTAATACAAAATCTCCGCCTTGCTGTTTGAAAGCAAAGGAACAAACAATGTTGAAAATAATTTTAAAAAGAAAATGGTGTAATGCAATTTTGTTAGCAAAATTTTGTTTTGATTTCGATAATTTACCAAAGAAAAACGTTTGTTGTTTGCACTTTTCGGCATGACCTCCACTATACAAAAATTCTATACTGATAAGAAAAATTTATTATTTAATTAGCACTGGCTTTCATTGTTAAATATTAATGGGAATGTTTAGGAAACTACATATGTACACTTCAATTTATTGCACTTATGTTGTGAAAAGTGTAGGAAATAATAAATACATAAACACAATACTATGTCGCTTTGAAATAGTGAAAAACACAGCGGCGGATTTTGAATTTTTATTTGAGTTATTTTATTTAAGAAATAATGCCGTATCGATAATAATAAATAGATTATCAGAACCAATTAGAACTAATTTTTTAACACTGCTATAAGTGATGTTATTAGAATTCAATGTTAATTTTTTTTAATAATCGCTCTAATATAAATTTAAAGTAAATTTAATTTTAAAAGTAATGCAGTGTTAGTGCAATTGCATAATATAATTTAAAAAATTTTTATAAAACATTTTTTTATAAGTTATGTTATATGAAACTACTTTTATTTTTTTTTAATACTAAACTCTGGGTTGGGCAAAAAGTATTCAGCGTTTTTAATGAAAATATAAACAAATTTATTTTTGATTCAAGCAAAACTATTATGTCCACTGTTGCTTATTTTTTTTCACCACTTACTGTAATTTTTCATATATTTCTGACTGAATAACGTAAAAATATATGGATAGGTAAAGCTAAGAACTTGTGCATCTAAAGATATCATCATGCGCGTAGCCAGAAAACTGCTTTGAAAGCGGCTTATGACGTAGTAACTAGTAGCGTATCAACAGATAAGGGATAGGCTCCTCTTCGGCACAATTGAGGCTGTGCAACTTATAATAATAAAACATTTTTAAAATACTTTCCTAGATTATTTTTTCATAAAAGACTGATCCGTTAGTTATAGCAAGCGCTCTCAGTCTATCACGGATATTACATTTCCTAGTACAATTTTTATTTTTTTAATAACAGAAAACTAATTGTCGACGGTAACTGTTATAATTGGTAAAAAATCAAATTGTTAAGTTAGTACTTCGTAACGAACTAGCTAGGTGCGTTATACAGCCCATATGGGTAGCCGGACACAGAGACATCGCGGGCAATTGATAGGCAGACAAGCATGTCAAGGTAGGCACTCTTTAGTGGTATCTCACTTGCAATTAAACTGAATAAGAAACGTAACAATCAACTGCTTCAACTAAAGCATAACCTGCTCAGCACCACGGTATCGGTACCGGTAATCGCTGCATACTTAGAAGGCATACTAAGAGTCTGGTTCTACAGTGCAAAGACTTTTGTCAGAGTTGTGGCTTTGTAGATAAGGAGAAAATTTTACTATACCTCATGTGTTAGTATCCATAATTGGATGATATCAAAACTTACCATTATTTGAGCTTAAGTATCTGCAAAGGCGCCACTCGAACCTTGCCTAACCTTAGAAGATATTTCATTAACAGAAAACTAATTCCATTAATGTTAAAACTTTAGTATAAACATCAATCCTTAATATCCTTCCACATTAAAATATGCAGTTCGTATTCATTGCAGATTATAACATTTAACAGCATTGATGTTTGCATTTCTTTCGGCTTATTTTAAACGGGACTTCAGTTGAACAAGCCTGTTTCCTAGTTACGTGCCTGAATATTATTTTAAAACACAATACCTTTCTTCATCATTAAATTCTATTTTTTTCAAATTAGGCCGTGTGCGACATCGAGTAAATTGATGGTAAATTGTGGGAAATAGTAAAATATATCGGTATGACAGCCAATATTGGTATTTACCAAAATTTCGAGTAGCATAAATTAGGTAGATAAAAATTAAGTAAATTGGGTGTTACCATTGTAAAAATTTTATAAGATATTTAATAAATAAATAAATAAATTTGAAAACTTTTAGCCAAAAACAGTAAATAAGTGCAATAAATAAATAAATAAATATTTAAATAAATGCAAAAAAATTTCTAGGAAATTTCAATTTACTCCAACTCGCACATGCCCTATATCATCAAATAAAAAAGTTTATTATATTAAATTCAAGAATCTGGTTATTATAAATCAGAATGTACAATATGGATGCCTAACAAGATGGACTGGATCAACATACACCCATATCTTCGTTGACGTTCGAGCACATTTAAGAGGGAATCATTTAAGAGGAAATTGTAATATAATATATTTAAAATTTTAATATTTGTGTAATTGACTAACATCTACGAATGGTTTCTCTTAAATAAAATATGCAAATACATCGATAACTTGAAACTGTTACCAGTCTTCCAAATAGCTCATTTTTTTATTGAAATCATTTTATTCCATTTAGAGTATTTTCTTCCAATTTTTCGCTTTGATATCCATTCACTTCAATTTTTTTATGTATTTTTTTTTGGGTCCACTTAGTACATGGTCTATGTGTTATAATTACCGCAGTTTTCAACATTAATAATAACATACTTTTGAACTCCCACAAAAGTCATCGTAATATATTCCGTTCAATATCATTCATATTACTGCCATCATCTGATTTTATTAACCAGGTCTCTGCGTATGTTTGGTTTTTTTTTTGCCGTTAAAATGCTAGTATCTTATAAAGTTAGGACCTATGATTTATTAGTTATTTTTTTCCGCTTATTTATTTCTTACCGCAGTTTCTCAACCAATTCTATATTACAGTATGCCAACAATAAAAACTTGGAAAATTTATACCACATTGAGTTTTTAGCATTGAAATTGTTTTAAATTTTGAAGAAAGTTTTTTTAAAGATATATACTACAGTCTTTTAGCCTCTCCTAGCAACATGGTATAATATTCCCAATCCTCGATAGATATGTAAGTGGTTTCTAATATTTTATATTATACAGCCTTAATTGATCTCAATTTAGGCTATGTCTATATATTAGCGGCCCAATCTTACCTATCTAAATATGTTACCATGACTTGTAAAAGAAGAGTTACTCTACTATATTATACAGCAAAAAAAAATTGACATATAAGAAGTATAATATCACAATTTATTATATTTTTAATACTTAAGTCTAATTAATGTTATAAATATTAAGTCTAAGAAATATCTAAGTCTAATTAATGATGGCATAATATATGTATAAAGATTAACACCGGGATATGAGAATATATATCAAACCCTCATTCTTTATCATTAAATAAATTATTTGAAATTACTTTTAAAACGGTATTGTAATGAAAAAAAATTATTTATCTAATTCCATTCCATTTTATTATATCATATAAACATATTTAAAGGTTTTTGTATTAAATGAAGCAATTCTTTCAATTTATCGGAGAAGTTTCTGACCCCGCATCCAATTAAAAGTATTTGTTAAGTGCAAGCTCATAGAAGTATGTTTATACGATTTTCATGAACTGCTACACCACTTCAACCAGTAAGTGACATACCTCTAATAATTTAGTCTAGCTCATCCTTAGACCAATTTAGGTATACGCTTCTGAATTCCAATTTCCTTTGTGAGATTTAGCGTGGTCATAGCTTTGCCACAGCTTTACGCATTATTATCACTATGAGACTTTTTTATGAGACTTTTCACTTTCTAATCTAAGGATTGACTCGTATATACCAAGAACTCCTACTAAACCCATTATTGGCCTTACTGGAATTTTATAAACAAATTAATACTTCACAATATTATTTTATGTCAATAACATTATTTAACATAAAAATTTAAGACAAAAATCATTTAAAAATTATTCAAAAACGTTTAGATTAAACTTTAATATTTAAGATCAAGTTTAGGAGACAACTAAAATCGCAAATACCCATTGTATTAATCATTTTTTAGGATTTATTATTAAAACTTTCTAGATTGTAACATCAGTCAATAAACTAACGATAATATTCACTGAAATTTTATATATTGGTACTTTGCATTATTTTTCATTTTTTATCATATACTATTTTTATATCATTTTTATCATATATAATTGTCAAATTATATCGACCAAAACATATGTCTGAGTCCAAATTATTTTCATAGCACGCTTTTGTACTTTGCACGGCGTTCTTTTACCGATTTTATTAAACCTTTATATGTCCAAACTCCCAAACCCCACAGACGGAATCAGAGTCATATGAGGCCGATCATTGCAGAAATCTATCTAGACGCCAAGACCGCCCCATATTGTGTAACAAAATAAATGCATATCTATCCTATGTGACGTCATTCGTTGGTGATGGAATCTTCACCTATCACAAACTAAATTTTCCGCCACCCATTTTACTTTCTGGACTAAAGAAAGCATATTTGACTGTGCTCATAAACAACGGTGAATTTAGGATCATCACCACCACCA